GAAGGGGAGGTGTGGCCAGGGGGGTGATGGGGAATTTGGGGGAATTTTGGCGGGAATTTGGAATTTTGATGCATTTAGGGTGATTCTATGCAAATGAGATGCTAATCATGACGTCATTTAAATGCAAAATATGCAAATGAGATGGTAATGAGGGGGGTGTGGCCACCATGATTCATGGGGGCAAAAGGAGGCGAAATTTGGGGTTTTTTTGGGCGATTTTTGTGCAATTTTTGGCGGATTTTTTTGCGGATTCTCATTGGCTGCCACAAAGGGGGCGTGTCCATTTTGAATATGCAAATGAGATGCAAATGAACCCCCAGGAAAGCCCAGGAGAGCCAGAAAGAGATGAAATTTTGGGTGATTTTGGCCATTTTTGGGGTGTTTTCTGTGCAATTTTTTTGCGGATTTTTATTGGACACCCCAAAGTGGGCGTGGCCATGTATGAATATGCAAATGAGATGCAAATGAACCCTCAGGAAGGCCCAGGAGAGCCAGAAAGAGACCAAATTTTGTTGTTTTTTTGTCAAATTTGGGGCAATTTTTGACGGATTTTTTTACGGATTTTTATTGGGCGCCCCAGAGTGGGCATGGCCATATCGAATATGCAAATGAGATGCAAATGAACCCTCAGGAAAGCCCAGGAGAGCCAGAAGGAGATGAAATTTTAGGGTATTTTGGGTGATTTTCGGGGGTTTTTTGGCTGATTTTTTTCCGGATTTTTATTGGATGTTCTAAAGGGGGCGTGGCCATTTAAAATATGCAAATGAGATGCAAATTACTCCCCAGGAAGGCCCAGGAGAGCCAGAAGGAGATGAAATTTTAGTATTTTTTGGGCGGTTTTTGTGCAAATTTGGGACAATTTTTTTGCGGATTTTTATTGGATGCCCCAAAGTGGGCGTGTCCATTTAAAATATGCAAATGAGATGCAAATGACCCCCCAGGAAAGCCCAGGAGAGCCAGAAAGAGATGAAGCTGCTGCTGGACATGTACAAATCAGCGCCAAAGGAGCAGAGGGACAAAGTGACGCTGATGGCGGCCGAGAGGAAGAGCAAGGCCGAGGTAATTAACGCTAATTAGCGCTCATTAATTAACGCTGATTAATCGTAATTAATGCTAATTAGTCCTGCTGAGTGAGCTAATTAATGTGGTTTAACTGTGGGAGGGGCTATGGATGATTTTTATTAATTAGCAAGCTCAATGTTAATTAATTAATCTTAATTAACTAATTAATCTTAATTAACCCTAATTAGTCATGCTGAGGGAGTTAATTAATGTGGGAGGGGCCACGGATGATTTTTGTTAATTAATGTGGTCGCTGTTAATTAATTTTTTCCAATTTGTGTAAATAATTTATTAATTATTAATTATTAATTATTAATTATTAGCGAGTAATTGGTGAATATTAATTAGTGGAAATGGGAGGAGGCGGGACCGAGATCCCATTGGCTCCCATTGACTCTTCCCTTTAATCCATTAATTCCTTTTGATTAATCAATGAATTAGGCATTAATTAATGATTAATTAGTGATTAATTACCATTAATTACCCAGCTGGAGGAGCTGCGTGGGCGCTGGCGGGAGCTGGAGGAGCGTGAGAGCCCAAACTCCACCCATTAATTTACTGCTCCTGTTAATTCCCTTTGATTCATTAATGAATTATACATTAATAATGATTATTAATGATTAATTAGTAATTAATTAATTATTATTAATGAGCTGGAGGAGCTGCGTGGGCGCTGGCAGGATCGTGGTCCCATTGACTCCCATTGACTCTCATTGAGTCCCATTGACTCTTTCTTTTAATCCATGAATTCCCATTGATTAATCAATGAATTAGACATTAATTAATGATTAATTAATGACTAATTATTGATTAATTACCATTAATTAATGAGCTGGAGGAGCTCTGTGGGAGCTGGCGGGATCGTGATCCCATTGACTCCCACTGACTCCCATTGACTCTTCCCTTTAATCTATTTAATCCCATTGATAGATTAACGAATTATGGATTAATTAATGATTAATTATTAATTAATTACTATTAATTAACCAGCTGGAGGAGCTGCGTGGGCGCTGGCGGGAGCTGGAGGAGCGCGATCCCATTGACTCACATTCACTCTTCCCATTAATCCATTAACTCCTATTAATTAATCAATGAATTACACATTAATAATGATTATTAATTATTAATAATTGATTAATTACCATTAATTAACCAGCTGGAGGAGCTGCATGGGCGCTGGCGGGAGCTGGAGGAGCCAGATCCCATTGACTCTTCCCTTTAATCCATGCATTCCCATTGGGAAATCAATGAATTAGACATTAATTAATGATTAATTAATGGTTAAATATTGATAAATTATTGACTAATTAATGACTATTAATCAGCTGGAGGAGCTCCATGGGCACTGGCGGGAGTGCGATCCCATTGGCTCCCATTGACTCTTTCCTTGAATCCATTGACTCCGATACATAAATGAACAAATTGGAAATTAATTGCTTAATTTTTTGATTATTAATAATTAATTATTGATTAATTAATGACTGTTAATCAGCTGGAGGAGCTGCGTGGGCGCTGGCGGGAGCTGGAGGAGCGCGATCCCATTGACTCACATTCACTCTTCCCATTAATCCATTAACTCCTGTTAATTAATCAATGAATTATACATTATTAATGATTATTAATGATTAATTATTAATTAATTAATTACTATTAATGAGCTGGAGGAGCTGCGCGGGCGCTGGCGGGAGCTGGAGGAGCGCGAGCGGCGCGAGAGCAAGAAGCTGGCGGACGAGGAGGCGCTGAGGAGGCTCCGCATGAGCGAGGAGCAAATCGAGCACCTGCAGAGGAGATTGGCGGCCACCAAACAGGTAAATTACTCATAGGATACTCACAGGTTACTCATAGGAGGATAAATTACACCTGGGATACACCTGAGTGTATAAAACCACACCTGGGAGCAAATCGAGCACCTGCAGAGACGATTGGTGGC